AACATATCTACAATAGAGAACAGTGTGATCAGACGAAACCAAAAATCGGTGCACGACAGTTTTCCACTTCGTGTGACTTACAATGTTTAGTATACGCTGCCCTCCAAGCAGCTGTTTCAGCCGGAAATCACTACATTTTTAAATAACCCACCTTACGATCTTAAGAATTTGGAAAAACTAAAATTTTTCTGACCGTGTATAAAACTAACTATCCGAAAACAACGTTGAAATTTTAGTTACAAAAAGTGAGGCTAAAAAAATAAACTTGCAGCATCCGATTAAATTAACAAAATATAGAACATGATTTCAGCATATAAGATCCACTTTTTAGTGTGAACATCGCTCTCTTGATCAACCGAGTCTCAGTGAGAAAACTTTAAAATATACTATAACATAAACCTCGGAGAAAACTCATGAATACTTGTTTACATGAAGTACCTTCATGTAAAACGGTTGTGTCAATCACTCACACGTTTTTTGATATCCAGTGTAGATAAAAATGTGGACAGTAAGTGTGCGAGTATCGTTGACATATTTACCATTAAACTCAGTAATATCCGATAAGCTAAAGGAATTCGTTGGCGATAGTGAATTCTCCGAATTGTTCCACAGCCTGTTACTGAAACACTTCCACATAGAAACTAAGAGCTTACAGATACATTTGGTTGACCTCTGTTCAAAGAGCTATGGCTAAGGTTTATATGTTGTTACATAGATAGCGTAGGACCTCAAATGGTGACATTGTATGACGCCTAAATCAAGTAGCTTCCAAATACTACATGTTTTTCACCGTGAAAAGGTGGTTAACACATTTAAAATTTGTGTAGATATTTGACATACATACCCAAGTTTATGTGGTTATGTAGCGTTGAATAAATTATTAGAACCATCCATCACTGAGCAACAATTTCTTACAATCTAATCCGAAAGAATGCATAACCAGATTGATACAGATAATCGATTTGCACTTAACTCAGAGAACCTGAATATAATCAATATAACGGACATAAGAATTGGAATTAAAAAACCCATCAATAACTTCGAAACGCAATCTGACTGTTAGCGGATAACGGTCCGATTAAAAAGATTCTGAACATCCAAGTAGTGAATTTCACTTGATATTGTTTACTTGGACCTTTCCATTGATGTTTAGCACTGCAATTAATCAGTCTCTTATTGCCGTATGTGCATACTTTGCGTATTGCCTCGATATTGTGTGATAATAAAGTTACTTATTAATCAAAACTAGACAATTATGCTTGGGAAACTTAATTAGCTTCCTAATCGTTTTTTAATCAATTTGGAGTCTGGACGAAGTCTGAGATGTGGAATTCTCGATATCGATGTAAGAGCGAAATTGCCCTTCAACCTTGAAATTCAGGCCTAATTAAGGAATTATAATAATTTAAACAGGATTTAATGGCTTAAACTGTAGTGCGACAGAAAATAAAACTACAAATAATAATGTTGTGAAGGACAACTCACACGACATTATCTACTCTATTTCAAAGAGAGACTGAAGAATATGTTGATGGAAACATAAAAGGATAGGACACTTGAGAACAAATACGTACTTTTTTACGTTGTGGAACACCCTAAGAAGATTGTGTACATCCAAGATGAAAACACTTGAAATAACATGTCTTTCAAGCATTGATCAAAAATGGAATGAATATTCCTAAGGTGAGGCATAGGAGACTAGGCAGAAAATATAAATCGGTTGAGAATGAATATCAGCTCTAGTTGGAATGATAGACCCTTGGTTAATTCTTAAAATGTAAAGCTCGTTAGAACTGTCGTCCATTTCACCAACCCCTATCTTCATGTATCATGACTGCTACCATAGAAATAGGTTGGAAAACATTAGAGGCCTCAAGAATAGGACATGAAGTCAGTCCACGAAAGCAACAAATATACGGATATATATGTATATATATATATATATATATATATATATATATATATATATATATATATATATATATATATATATATATATATATAATCCCCCAAGTTAGAAGGATAAACGTAATTTTTGATCAAAACTGTCAAGTAACGCGGCTTGAAACCAGCCACTGGAGGATGTACATACTGACCAGTCGAAAAAATACGTCGGAATCTTGCATCACTTTTATTGTTCACTTTCACTTAGAATATGCCGATGACATAGTTCTATTTGGTGAAGACGCTTACAAATTGCAGCCTTCTGACCAGTATAAGCAACAATGCAAGCATGTTCGGGATGCGATTCTCCCCCTCGAAATGCGAAATGTTGCTTCAGGATGGGGTTGCATCAACATCCGAACTAATGATAGGGAGTAAAGTAATTGAGCGTGTCGATCGCTTCACTTACCTTGGAATTTTCATCAGCCCTTGTGGTCTGGTGTGTGACGAAATCTCAGCACGGATACAGAAGGCTCGACTAACTCTTGCCAACTTGCGTCATTTATGGTGTAGGCGAGATATACGTCTACCAACCAAAGGACGTGTTTAATGCGCAGCAGTTCGTTCCATCCTACTTGATGGCTGTGAAACATGGCCGGTAAGAGTAGAGGATATTCGTAGGTTACTGGTATTCGATCATAGGTATCCTCGAAACATTGCCCGTATATCCTGAGACTGTGGTGTGACCTACTTATATTGATATAAGTAGTATATAACGTGCGTTAAAAGAACGTAATGTCCGGCACCAGAAGATGGCGAAGATCAAGAAAGGAAGAGCAAGAACACAATGCAATTGTAAGAAAACGCATGTACAATGGAATGGGAGACAATGGATTAGTGTTTGCAACGGGAACAGTACAGTTTGATATGATGGAATGATATTTTGCAAATTGACGATTGACTTTATGGTATTCACATTATATTGAGATAGTCTGTAATTTTTGTGCCAAATACAGTCGATTGTCCCCACCCGTGTTCTTGTTCACTACAAGACCACCGAGTAAGTAACGCAGTTGTTAGGAAACGGGTACTGGGTGAGGATGACAAATCAATTGGTGAAATAGAGAAATTCCATCAGTTGAGATGGCTGGGACACGTGTTACGTATGCCCAACCACTGACTGCCTCGATTACTGCTTATACTTTTACTACCTCTACCACTACGGGATTTGAATCGACAATTATATCTCTAGGCAAATGTGGTATGGCAACTCGAACTGATGTATGAAGTTCTACGTTATTGCTGACTGATTGAATAATACTAGCTCCATTATTTTCACTTAATTTCATTAAATTCCTCACCATATGCTGATGTTGTGTGGCAGTTTAGTCTAATAAGTTATTTGGGTCCCTCTATTTCCCTTCTTGATCTCTATGATCTTGTGACTTAAGCACCTGACGAACACAGCTACATTAATAATAAAAGTAATGCAACTGAGTAGCTGAACTGAATGTTAATGCAATAAATTACGAACAATATCTAAAGAGCGAAGATTAGTGATAAAGTCCAAATCGCAAAAAAACAATAAAAGTAGAGTAGAGAATTATGTACTCCATAGATGCAGTATTATTCAGACAAGAATATTTATTTTTATAACTACCAGCAAACTCTAGATATTCACAAAAAATGAGTATTCATTAGTAAGTACTAGATAGGCTATTTTACCTATGACTATAACGATATTATCGTGATAGCATTACAAACCGAAAGATACTTACGAAACTAAACCAGTTTACTTAGTCAAGCAACGTAACCGTAACATTTGTATCCCCACTGAATAGCAAAAAGAAGTGATGACTAAATGACTTAATCATTATTACAAAAAATTTACTTTTAAGCAACAGCAATTACATAGAAAGTTTTGATCATGCTCTTTTACATGTATCAAGTTATGAGTAGATGCGTAGATCCTTAGGCAACTACTTGCTACCTAGCTGCCACAGGAAAATCAAATTTACAACCTCGACACCAATTACACTATAATACGACATTTGTTGTTAATATTTTCACATCAAACTGTCCTTGCCTATTTTTTGAGACTTAGTTCCGTAAAAGTGAGAAAGTAAACATGAACAACTGGATAATTTTCAGCGGTAGTCTTTGAGATTGAAACGAACTTATTATAAAAGCCACTGAAAGGCTTTGTCTTACAATAGGCTCCAAACGATGTAACAAACTAACTGTGGATATTTGTTCTCGATCTTTAGGAGTACCAACAAGAACAGATAGTTTACAACCCAAATAAGATAATACACTTATTTCTGTCAGAAACAATTAAGCCATTACAGACAACAACAAAAAACATGCATATAGGGATAAGCAGACCCAACCTAGAAAAGTAGTGGTATGACCCATTTAAAGATGACTATGAAGTTTACCTACCAATCCCACAGCAAAGTCATCATTTAAACAACTTGGAAACGTTGGCTAACAGATGATGAAATTAAAGATACAATAGCCAAGCTGAACATCACTAACAAAATACGGCTTGTTGTAATCAAATTTCATTGTTCCTATGATATGAGATCCTAGCCCTTGCCAACACTCAGATAAAATAAGTTGGTTTCGGATTAGACAAATAAGGTGACGTGCAGAATCCCGATTGTGATCATTTACAAGTAGTATGGATGCATGTTAATCTACTTACAGCGTATTGTATTGTCATAATATTATCTAATCCATAATCAAGAATGTAATTAACTTTTCCATAATTATACAATACTTCCTTGACTTACTAACGCAACTCTAGTTATTGAAAATGAAAAGTGGACAAACTACTTCACACACTACTTCACACATACTGCTAAAACAGACGTTGTAAGGACGTCTTGGAGAAAGTTGGTCGACTGGAAGTCCAAGCACGGTGTTTAGAAGAATGCGTTACACCGACAAAAGTCTGCGGGGGATTTCAAGAATTCAGATAAAACCCCGAAAGATCGAAGGTAATTACCTCGAATGAACGTCAATCAAAACGTTGAAATAGGAAGACAATTAGCAATACTGATGACAGATTGATCGTGTGAACAATGCAGATCTTCGGAGGATATTTCATCAATTTAAAGTGCCATTTTTCTGTACACACAAAAAATTTATAAAAGAAACGAAAACGTAGAATGAACCAAAGAAAGGCAATCAGTAGTGATGAGTAAATCTACAAATAGTTATGCTACGACCTTAGAGTGGCATAACAGATTTACTAGCGCCACTGCTATCGACCTCGGGTTAAATCGTTTAATAATCTCAATTACAAAACCAGCTTCAGTCACAAGGATATGGTTCTCAAAAGCGAATAATATTGACACATTCGTAAACTAGTGACATCTAACTCTGTCACCATTAAAGCTCTTAACCCATACACATGAAGCCTCAATTGTGATTGAAAAATACATCCTCCAGGAGTTCCAGTCCCTACTTGTTTACAACACTATGAAATACTGCACCTTAAACAAGAAGTGATCAACTGACGTTTAAATAGCACGGCAAATGATATTTCAAAGACACTAACTAATAACTAAAGACAAACCTTTCATTTTGTCGTCTAGAGACTATTTAATGAAACAGGATGCTGGACGTGAAACCCTTTGCATCATATATCAAGCTAATATATTAAGATAAAAGTGCTACGGTATTTGTATCTGGAATTTTGTATGATGCACAATTATACACGCGTTAACAACAATAATAAACGTGCACAGTCACTGGTATTTGAAAAGACTTGTTTTCACCATACGTCACTAAATTAAGGTCAAGAAACATGAGTAAGTTGTTGCCCCGGCATTTATTCTGTAATTTATGAAATGGCGAATAGATGACAAAATATTCAAGGCCGATATGTAGGGATTATGACTGTTCAGAGTGAGATCAAGTGGTAAGAGAAAAACTGCATATTTTATAAACAAAACAAACGGTTGTCGAAATAAACTGGGACATGAGTGATATGGTGTTTTACTGGTTCTCAGTAAAGATGATGAGTAATAAGACCTAGTCATGTTTAACAAATTGTCTGATTTGGTGAATGAAATTGTTTCATTAGGAACCTAAAGCTGGTACTCCATACTGAAGGTGTGTGTTGGAGTTCGCTATAAGCTCTAACTCGACCAACAATGTCTAAGTAAGAGAACCCATGTGTTTACGTACTTGCTGGTAACCCTTCTAATGAGAAACAACGCCACAGGACTTTCAAATAAACAATACCTGTGTCGTACCAGTGTGTCGAAATCGAACGAAAAGTTCGTTCTCGATCAGTGTTCACGGAAAGGCTTTCAGTTAGCTGTTCAAGCGTTACATATTGGCGTCAGATGTCAACAGGAACTGTATCAGTCAAAGTGATTTCTCGGAGGTTATTTTGAGAGAATTCGACTAACCACACGAGGCTACATACAACTTCAGGCTCTAATTAATATCTAAGCTGCTTTGAATGAAAACGTCTGGCCACCCCAATACAAATCTATGCAGTTGATCTGTCATGTCATGATCTCCTTATGTTTGAGTTAGGATCTCAAACTTGATGAGTGCGAGAGTACACCACCCACTCAAGCACAAAAATAATGAATCACTAGGTAGTAGCTTGGGGCCAGCAGAACTATTCCTCATGTTTTTCTCATGATCACCATGGTTTGAAAGTAGACTTCGGGTTAAATATTTTCAGAAATAATTTCGATAACCGTTCACTTTATAAGTCGCCTATGTAATTAATCTAACAACTTACTGCGTTATCGATCACTGCTATTTTCCTTATGATTTTGACTTTTGCCGTCTTTAATAACGACTAATGGAAATTTTTTACCAATCGATAAGCAAATTTCTACATTCGTTATCATGGTTGGAGGATATAAGGATGAGTTTCTGAGTATCTATTAATTGCACTAAACTCCGAGATACATCACTTATTTGTAACCTAACGGTTCAAATAGGCAGATGTCAATGTTATGCTTATAGATGTTCACACACCATACTCACCTTCAAGGGTCTGACTAGTTCCTTAAATATATTCTTAGGGTTTCCGTATTAGATAGGTGATCTGAAAGGGATTCCTACTAAAGACTTTCCACCAATTAACTATCACACTACATAATGACTGAAATTCCTAGGGTTATGTCCCAGAATGAGTAAGTCTTTGACGTTGACTGATAGGAATATAGTCAATTTGTATCCACAGTTGAGTTAGGACAGGGTTCATCTCTTTATATCCTTCAGGTTAACACATGCTAAGAATGAGAAATTCCCTAAATAAATGCAGAGAATGACCTATATACTCGAACACGGCGAAAGATTAGCGTATCATTTTAAATTATACTACCTACTTAGGGACTAAAACCATAGTCATAACTACTACACCTGATTAAGGGAATTGGATTTGTACAAAAATCCTCTCCGAACTTGAAGTTTGTCCGCAGAGCACAATGGAAAGTTACCAGAGGTAGGTCACAAACTTCCTGCAAGTGGCTTTCGAGGCATCACATACTTATCAGACTGTACAACCGCAAGAGATCTTAAGTTAGGGTTTGGTTTTCTCTTTATGGGTAAGCAGAATCGTTGTTGACAATGCTCACACAAAGAAAACACCGCAATAACCCCACATTTCCACACAGTACGCAACACAGCTTCGTCCTTAAGATATCTCCTTAAGCCTAAATCGTTCAGGGCACGACTTGCCTGGCATGATGCGACCACAGGGAGCAAGTGTTCTATGCAATGTAACTCGGCTGAATTCTAATTAGATCACACATTTAGAGGAAACAATCCGCGACTTGACGGGTGACTCTCCAGTGTAATTTCTAAGAAACGAAATGGTGCATGGGGACCAAAAATCAACTGTGGATATACTCTCGAAGCCTAGATTCGATGCACTTAAGCAACTAGAATATTCACAACTGAGAACCCACTTCATTGGATTTGTAATTTAACTTGGAATGGACTAAAATTGTAGACAAGCGCTTCACTAAATCAGCGATGATAGCATACAAAACAAAAAATAAAAACAACACACAAGAGGAATATTAGCAAAATATTTATCTTTGTCTACATGCTTGTATAATGTAATCCATCTTCATTGGGTCAGTTGGGAAGCGTATTTAAAGCAGAAATTTAATGCATGGCGCAGGCGTTACCAGAAAAAAAACAGGCAGAAATCGAAAATCATAGTTGAGGGCTAAGAAAGACAATACAGGATGCAATAAATGAGAAAAATCGAATACAAGTGACTCCGTATACGTTCCAATTGTGATAGATTTTCCTACGGAATGAGTTTTATTTAGAATAAATTAGCAACCAGATTCACATAAACATAATTAACATATACTAAATTTCATGAACATACATCTATGAAGGGAAAACTGAGATTATCAGCGTTAAAATGGTCAGATTCTACATATAAAGTTTAATTTAAGAGATCATTCGAAATAAAAAGAAACGATCCCAAAAGTATCAAAAAACTTGAGTAATCACTTCAAGAATATAGTTGATACATACCTATTTCGCAGTCCATATGAGACAGTTAGAATCCCATGACCCAGTTGCAACACCTATGCCACTATCAGATACTGTTACACAAGAGACCCGGTTTTCGTGGGCGGACATGATTCCGACACGTTCTTCTCGTAATAGATCCCAGACGTGACAGTTGAAGTCGTCGTATCCAGCAAGTAACAGACGACCCGACTTTGAAATCGCCACACTACTACTACCACAGTTAATGAAGTCATCAATATAGACGCCAATAGCTTGATCAGCTCGTAGATCCCACAAATGACACGAGCCATCGTCGGAAGAGGAGGCGAAAGCATAAGAATTGACGGGAAAAAAATCAACGCCATTAACATCTTGCTGGTGCCCTTCGAAATACTGCATACCTTCGCCGCACCGAAGATCCCACAACCGACAAGTGCGGTCTGAAGATGCGGAGACAAACAAATTCGGCATCTGCTTCGACACGGCAATGGCGTTAACATCATTTGAGTGGCCGCGAAAACTTGTAATGATTTTAGACTTCTCGATATCCCATAGTGCACAAGTTTTATCACCAGAACAACTCAGTAATCGATTATCATCAATGAATCGAACACATGCGATGTAACCATTATGGCCAGTAAACTCGCGGACAAACTCTGCAGTGCCGTCCTGTGACTTTAGATTGAAATAAGATATGACATTATCTAATCCACCACTAGCCACAAAGTTCATAGAGGGAGAAAATGCACATCCAATGACCCAGGCTGTTTTCAAAGCAATCATATGAATTTTCTTTCCAGAAAATGTATCCCAAACGATTAATTTTCCATCTTGAGAAGCGGACAACAACAACTGGTTATCAGAGGCCCATTGAATAGACGTCACCTTAGCTAGATGGCCTCGTAAATGTTTACGTACTTTGAACTTGATTCTACCAAGTTCAGGTACATTCTCAGTCATTTTGTAGAAGTCTGTATCTGCAACAGCTTTCTGTGCATCAGTAATTGAAGTTTTTAGATTCAGTATTTCTGCATCCAAAGCCTTTTCTTCCTCTGATATTTCTTCATTATATACTGCAGAGGCAATAGATCCAGCTCGGTTAGGATCTTGCGCTAAATCTGAATTGTACGTGATTTGTTGAGCTACATCCATCACAGTAACTTTAAGGTATAGAACATATTACACAACAGGAAACAAAATATAAATCTGTAAGCCAAAATGTGTATACAAATGCATATTATGCATTAGCACAAAGCTGTCAGGATCCCCATTATTATCGTAAATCAGAACACGACCGATACGAACAGCTAGCTTGGTGCTGTATCAACTGACTGGCTATTTTTGATGTTGTCCTTATATGTGGTAGAAAATCGATAAAAATTTTAACCAATCAGAGTGAAATTATCCAAGGCGTTAGTCTGTCAAGGTTTGAAATCTATGCTTAAATTGAGAAAATTTAGAGGTCAAAATTTTCGTAATATAGACAGGTGGACAAGAGACACACACCAATTAACTGAAAATGGAAAGGAATATAAGGAAAACGGGAAAGTGAATCAGTCAGTTTGGTTTTAATTTTTGGCTGGAATCGTGTGCAATTAACAGTCTCACTAACGTATTTTTGATCATTAAGATCATTATCTTATTCAAAATAAGATTTACTGGGACTTCGTTTTAAACATTACCTAAAATTTGCGAACAGGTTATTGTAAGAGTGGAATATTTGCTCAAATGACTATAGTCATGAAATATACTATAGTATATTTCATTTAGTTCTTAGTGTCGGATTACATAAATGCGGTTAAAGAACTACAGCTGACCAAATTTTTGTGTTTCCGCGCAGTAAGAGTAATATCAGTTTTTCGTAAATCTAACAAGACATTCTGAGAGTACGATAGATAAACTGGTTACTTCGAATGCTAAATAAAAATATGACGCATTCTAATTAGGATACTTATTTTCAATACTGCACGGTTTATGAATCACCATATTGTTTAAGCAATCTGTAAAGAATTAACTTAAATGAATAAGTGTTAATGTGTTTTATCTACTTAAATACACAGGATTTCATGCTTCGCTTCAATTCCATCATTAAGACTGGATCATGGGGATTGTTCCGTCTGAAAATAGATTCATTATAAAGTAACTCCTGATAGAAAGTCGTTTCCTAATAGTGGGGTTTTTTTAACATTGTACAACCATACGTATATATGTATATATATATATATATATATATATATATATATATATATATATATATATATATATATATATATATGCTCTTTGGTCCACCACATCTTCAAGGATGAAAAACCGGGGACTTCAGATATATCTAGATCAATAAGTTTCCATCTAGAAGTGTATGTTTATAATTTGAGACAATTTAAGCTACCTGACAACCGTCATCCAATACTATCGGTGATAGGCGTCTCAATTTCAACTTGTTCGTATCCTACCTTTCATGTCTCCTCACTAGAATTAGGAGAATCTACTCCTAAATTATTCGCTATTAAGCACATATTTTTTAGGAGATTGACCACTTAGGGTTGTTTAATTTTGTGTTTGTATAGATTTATCTGGTTTGAAGATAATTTCCACTGCGGACCGAAAGGACCTGTTGAAGATACTGGTTCAAACACCTCTCTAAAACACTTTAATGTGACAAATATTCAACACTGGATACAGACTTCGTTATTTTCAATTGACTAAACTGTTGTTAACACCCATCAAAACATTCCACAAATCATTCGTTTCCAATGGTTCTCTAGTTGAGGCTGAGCTGTTATAAAAATGGTACATTACACAAGGGAATCTTAATCGACCCAAGGAATAATGCTAACGAAGATAAAAGATGCTTTAGAATTGTGTTCCTTCTGTACAACTACTCAGTGACTATGCATTTCTCAGCCATATGACTTGTATTTGACTGTGTTTCTGATATCCTCGTGAACTAAGGATAACTTACGTATGATAGGTGGTAAAGACTTCTAATCAGTTAATAATTAGTCGTTTTCATCATATACTTTCTGGTCAAACTCAATGACATTTAGAGTTCCATTAATTCGTGTTGACAATATACTTCTACAAATTCAGCTGACCTTTTAGATGAATAAATCTTCTCAGTAGAATATCTCTTATCTTATGATTGACCCTTCATTTGGACCAATTCATATAATCAATCCTTGAAATCGTAGCAATTCTACTACTCAGGATATTCGGTTTGGAAATAATTTTAGATAATACTTCACCTCTACTCTCATCCTTATGGAGTTTATAGAGAATGCGTAACCTGATAGCTTTGGGTTCAATCACCGCAGACGTCATTAGTTCACTTTACTTAAAAGTCCCATACAGGGACAAATTAGCTGTCCAGTGATCCTTAGTTAGCAATGGTTTCTTGGTCACATACAGTTAATTATGTAGACTAACCTCAAAATGAATAGTCTACACGAAATTTTCGTGATATTAGTAATCATAACCTTGGGAAAATTTCCTGGATATTTAGAAAGAAACGGTAACAGATAGAGCTCAACGATTTCAGGTTTATCCCAGATGGAAATGGGTAGTGACCACATAATATCATAAATTGACCGGAGTGTGAAATGTGATTTCTTGGGATCTAATTTATTAGACCAAAGGTTATGGATTTGTTCTTAACTCTTGATGTTCTAGATTCGACACCTAGTAAGGTCATGAGTATTTACCGCTGTACTCAGGCATAAAAGATTCTCAACCTATCATATTGATCTAGAGAATTGATGACGCTTTGAAATAGCTGGTCGTTTTCCAAAGAAATGATTGAGGTGAAGTATTTGAGACATCTTTCTCACACAACTACATCTATAAAACCTCTTTCTAAAGGTTGTCCATATGCAGAAGATTCGGTATGCATGAAACTAAATAGATCAATACAACTCTATTTTTCTTCGTTTTTCTTCCACTAATTTATATTTCCTCGAATCGTATATTCAATGCCTAGTCTTTCCCATTACCACTAACACTGTTACTACATCTACTATTTTGCGATCAGGTTAGATAACTTTGTCTTTCTGTGTTAATCGGTATGGTAACATGGACCGATGTACGTACGTATCAGGTTATACATTATGGCTGATTGACTTAACGTCAATCTGTTATTGAACAAACGTAAGATACTGACCACTCACTGAAGATTAATATTAACACTTTCAGCTCTCAGTACAAGTATTTTTTTTATTGGCTACGATTCCAGATGTCTTTGGCCATCACCACCGTATTACTTTTTAAACCTCTAGAAATAATGTACTTTATCGAAATCCATTCTGAGAAAATTTCGCCATCAGTGGTGCATAACGTAGATGAAAATAATGAGGAATTTCTCAACTATTACAAACTATTTTTGCGTTAGGGAACAAAACTAAGGAACTTTGATATCATTTAGCTTTCTTGTTAAGGGGTTCACATGTTTTATAGTCCCACAAGTCAATTTACCCCTCCTGTCACAGCTCATAAAAGTACAGTTCCAAGTGTTTCGCCAATGTAGTTTAGTGTTATTGCCGTTTTATTCTCTCTTTTAATCCAATAACACAAATTCCTAAAACATAGAAACAGTATATACTAACGCTAGCCAACTCAAATTTTTTTCATGCCTAAATCTCAGTCAGGACAGTATGATAATATTAAGTTAAATTTATCCGCTAGATCACATCCCGCTAACTAGTACCACACATTATCTAAGTAATACTGGTAATCAGCCTTCTAATTTGCACGATTTTGTGACAGTTGGTATGTTTTGCTTTTTTGGGGAACTTGTTTTAGAGATCTAAAGCTGCATTTTATTTTTAAAAGCATAGATATGAGTACCGTGATAATGATCTTCATGGAAATTCTTATATGTGGAGATTATGTTGTCCACAGTAGGGAAATACAGACAACCAGGGATGAAAACATTAACCAGTTTTAAACGAAATACTTTTATTAATTGAGTTTATAAATTTTAAATGATTAGTTAATACTACCCATATGATTAATCTGAACCACTTCAGCTAAGACAGAACTGTGAAGCCTTCACTACACCTTTACCCAGCCACTCTAACTGCACACGAAAATGAAAAAGAAAGTTTAGAATACATCTGTCAGTGTGACTTGCTCCTCAGAGGCAGTTGAAGTGATAGATATAAAAGAAATAGCTAGGTTAAATGAATCATTTTTCAATCTTGATATCAGTATCAGACGCGTAGAGAACTTTAGTTGCAGTTTTCTTAGATCGAACGGTTTTTGTACTAAGTATGTCACTCGTAAATGCTGGGCACATCAACAGTGATCTTTTGTTCGTTCTCTAGACCCCATGTTGTTTTGGCTTCGTAATTTTGTTTACAAACTTTTCGATGTAATCAATTTTCCTGTTAGTTTTCACCAATGCATTTGTTTCTTCCTCACAATTTCAAATGTACACAGCATACTAACCATTTCAACATTTAGACGCAATGTAAAAACCATAAACTCAAACATTAAGACAGTATTACTTTTGAAAATGATCATAACTTTTGATTATTCATTTAAAGACATAATTGTATGATCCGATAAGTATTTATAGGGAATATTATCCTTTGTTTACACATCTTTGTCCAAACTATTTTGTCAGTAAAACGGCTTTTCAAAAGAGAAAGTCGTATTCGAATAACTATCCTTTTTCAATGTTCATTAAAACTATGATATCTAGTATTTTCTTGTTCATTTAATGATTGAATACTGCGTCTAAGAGCATGATTTTCACTAGGGATTTCATTTCAATAATCTTAAGTCATATGCATACATATCTCCTATGAACTAACCACTGTAGTGCATTCCAACTGGACTAAAAAAAGCAAATAAATGAAAAATTGTGGCTTCAAATGAAATTCTAGGTGAAAATCTCCTTATATGTAGCGCTCGCTCACTAAATCAACGGCAAAATGCTTAATTATGCTCGACAAAGCACAGATCCTGAACATTCGGAAATGAATGCGCTAAAAATTAAAAGACATACCTCAAGGAATGTTGTTATTTGAATAAATTTTACTGAACAGTTAGTTTTCAACAAAATATTCCATAGGTGACTAAGTAGTGAGAATATTAGAACCTTTTAAACTAGATCTGTAACTCCTTTCCAAAAAAATGACTTCTTAAATACTTGT